TATAGTGCATAACTTGAAAATTAATGGTTGGAATTCAAAGAAACTTCATACAATTATCAAGGGCAGTGAGATGAAGTGCAGTGCACAATAACCATAACTCTATTTGATATAATTACAGTTATCGCCCTTTACTTTTTTGTCATCAAGAAGCATAACTCCTTTTGTAATTCATTAAAAATTCATTAGTGGTGAACCACATTGAAAGAAATTGCATCATATAAGAACCACAACTATCTTTAATTGCCCACAACCATAACTCTATTTAGTTCTTTTGCAAGGTATTCTGTTACTAGTAACTTCCTCATTTCGGAAGCAGTCTTGCGGTGGTATTAATCATATTTAGTGATAGTTCTAGTTTTTTTCTGTTTTGTCTGTGTTCGCGCGGCGTGTGTGCGCGCGCGTGTGTGTATTAAATATTGCTTCTAGTTCTCTCTCATTTAGATCATCATCTGGGTTACGTCTAACATTACTGCCTGCCCAGAACCATTAGTATTGCATTGAAGTCTACAATTTGTTTGACACGTTCGTTCTATTCTTATTTGAAAACATGGTACCAGTTTTACAGTTTTTATTCTTTTATTCAATTAGGCAACAAACCCATCCATACATGTTTCAAATGGTTAAAAATAACATTCACATAATAAGTCCAAAGTACGAACAAAAATAAATTACAAACATTGATAATTACTTTAGCTATATTACAATGATAAATTAATGCTTTTTAATGCATTGTTCTGATCCTCTTGATATTTTCATATTTATTTGACTTTGTATTCCACCCTAGCAATGATGATTATGACATACATGCTTGGCAATAGCAATAGTGTGGAGCAAAAAAAAAACCCGACAAATTGCACTTGTTATACATTATGCAGTCTGCATTTATAGTCAAACTAGTCCGCCGCCCGATTAGATTAATAGAGAGAGAGAGAACATCGAATTACAAACAAATTTTTATCATACATGTATTTAGTATGTACTCGTATTCTTTATTTCAAAATTTAAACTCTTTATGTAAGTAACAGACAGCAGATATGGCTTTATACAATGTAAGCCGGTGATATGGGGTGGTGTGTGTGTGTGTGGGGGGGCGTAGATGGTAGCTCGCATTTACCACTCCCGTTCATGAATCGTGAATAGCCTCAATCAAGCAGATCCCACAACAGGATTTTATATTCTTTTATTTTTCGTCGTAAAATAATATTCATGATAAGGTAAGTGTTTTTTTTATGCTCGTTTCAGTTTTTACAACAGGATGTTTCTTTTTTCTGAAAATATAGATTATTCTCAGTACTAATACATGTATATCTTATTGTGTAATGATTTCCTGGATTTCCCGAACACGTTATTTTATATTATACACATTATATATGTCAAGACGACCTCAGGTTACAAATATAGTAACTACATTGATATAAGATTAAAACTGCTTAATTTATTACGAAATTCATGGTGTTACAAAATAATGTATATTTATGACTGAGCACGATATTTCACAAGAACAGGACGGATGCAACTTAATCGCTCTAACATTGTTAACCGTGAAATAGCAACCGTGACTTGTTCCCCGAATAATGATTAAATCACTTACGAAGAATGGTATTTTTCTATAAAGGCACTCTTTAAAGGTAATGTTGCATGGGCGTATAATCTGATGGTTTAACCTAGAGCACGCAACAACAGTGATGCAATCCATCAGAATAGAACATACATGTAATTTTCAATTAACTAAATTCACCTTATATAAAATCTAAACATATTTTACCTTAAGGAAAAGAAATACATATAAAGTGACGTCACAACTCGAGCGATACAAAGTCACATACACGTAAATATCCATGTATATGATTATTTTTCTTTCATTGCTTCAATTGGAAATGTTTTGACAGAAAACGTACAGGTAAAGTAATGAGATTTGCAATGATTATTATTATTATACATCTTTTATAAAAGTATTTTAATATGATTTAACACATGAATCATGACACGGGAGTGAAAATAACCAATTTGTTATATACTAATAAATGGAATATTGAGAAGAATTAATGATATCAAATGCCTTTCTTAAAAGATGTCATAATGATAACGCAATATCGTTTCTTTTTTAAATTATAATTTTCTTTCTAGTCCATACAAATTATTTTTCCAGCCCATACATAAATGCCCGTGCCGTACAATACGAATGCTTATGATCGGACTAATTCAAGTCTACTACAAAATATTCAAATAGTTTAATTAGTGTGCATTAATTTATTTTCCAGCCCATACACGTGTTATGCAATACAGGTGCATATGAAGTCTGCTACAAAGTATTCAAATTATTTCATTAGTGAGCTTAAATGAACCCCAAACACCAACACATAAAATGATAAGAACATTTTCAAAAAAACGAAAAATAAAAAAGATGGATGTGAAAGTTATTGTATGTAATACAGTATGATGGACAAAAAAACAAGGACACCCCCACCCCAACAACAAACATAATAGTCTTTTGTGGGATCTATCAATTATAATTATCGTGAAGTACCAAAATCTAGTGCAAGGTCTCTCTAATGTTATAAATTCCTATCTGACATGCTCTTCGTCGTGCATAAGCTGTATTCTTATAGCCTTATCAGCAGATCTTTATTTAATTATTTCATCCGCAATCATAATTAAAAATGATGAAAAAAAAAACTTTGATTTTATCATTTCATTTAGGTGGGTTCAATACACTAATTTTAACATTCAATTATAAAAAGCAAATAGCGATGCAATACATTTTTTTAACAAATTCTTTATTATGCATGCACAATTGTGGTAATGAATGCATTTTAAAAGTGTAACAAACTCTACTCTCTCTCGCGTTAAATTAGCGTAAATGCTAGTAGTACATTTTTAAAATTGTTTATACACTATCGCACAAATTATTATTTTATTTACCATACACTACCAAATATTTTATTATAGTGCATTGTATAGAAATAAAGGTTGTACATTGATTTGAACAGAAATCTTGAAAAAGTTCATTTTTATACATTTTTGCAAATAAGAGTCGTGGCAAATCAGGCCTAATTGGTATACTGGAATACTCCTCAGGCAAATTAGCCAATTGCTAATGCAAAAAAAAAAAAATCATTGAAATGTTAAAATGTCGACCGATGTGAATATTTGTACCTATAGAATAAATAACTTTGTTATGCTTTGCAAATACAGTAGCGATTTGTTATTCTCTGAAGAAATAAATAAATAATGAAATAAATATTTTTCTTACCTTACAAAAAATGCCAACGGTTAATAAGGAAACGTTTTTGCTATCTTTTTGGCCGGATTTAAATGCACATTTTAATAATGACCTAGGTGCAGCTACGTTGATAAGAGAGGTGCAGACAGATTGTAAAATATTACACGTTTTATCTACTGATTAAATATTTTTAATTTACATTAAAAATCTCTTTTAAAGTGTGTCATATAAGTATAGGTCAGTGTTAAATAGTCAACATTAAAAAAAATTAAATTTGTTAAGAATGGGGCAGCTTATTTACTTTTTGAAACTTGATAAAATTGTCGATTTACTAGACTGATTAAATTTAGTCGATTCGTGTTATGATTCATTTGAAATTAAAATACTGCAATTGTATTGGGCAAGGGAAAAATATTTTCACACTAATAAAACCTATATACATCATGATGTTTGTCAAAACGAATAAGTAATGCAAACTGTGTTTAAAAAGGTTAGCCTTCACAAATCAATATAGAACGCTCGGATCGCAGGAGTCTAATGTTGAGTGGCAATATACGGAAACTTATCAGGGCATCCACTTGTCTTGAAGTTTCACGTCATGTCAACTTGTTTCTAATAAGCTTCCGTAGCAATATGATTTTGTAATAATTGTTTTCAATCTAATAATCTACTTTGCGTGGAAGATAAACAGAAAACCTTACACGTCCCACGGAAATTTCTAAAATCATTCTACAGAAATGCACGGATGCTTATCAGGGCCTACAGTTGATGAGATGTTTTGCGCTAAGTCGACTTATTTTTTTATTTGCATTGATAAGATGTTTAGATGTTTTTGCATTTCTCAATAAAATGTACTGACAAAGATGAGAAGTTTTTAGGCATTGCAACTAAATTTTTCTCGATATATTTGAACCTTTTGTCTCTTCGACAAAAATCCTGTCGAAACTTCGTGATTTCACGACTTTGCTAAAATATTTAGTATAAATTAGTAAGATGCAAAGACGTTACTCGCATTAACAAATAGCTCACGTAATTCAACAAAAGCTTTTTTTTTTACAATGATTAAAACTTTCTACGTATTACGGATTAATTATAACGTCTTCATGGAATGTTTTTACATATTACGTATTAATCATAACGTCTTCATGAAATGTTTTTGGTAAAAACTAGAAAAAAAAGTTGACATGACGTAAAACTTTTAGATAAGAGGAGGCCCTGATAAGCTTCCGCAGAAATGAAACAATGTACCACATTCAGTTGATAAAAAAGTAGGGCAATTTTTCAATTTTATCCTTATCTTTTGGCATTACCAATTATTTGTCAATCTCCATTATTACTAGTTAATGTTTTCTTTTAAGTTAGAATTTTTATAATGATGACAAGTTTAGAATAAGTACGGAATGAACAGCAAATAGTGCCGACCATAAGCTGACAGCAAAGATGTGGCGGCGGATTTTGGTCTGCACTTGCCTGCCTGTATGCTATGTCCAATGAGGGTCCGTCCGCTCGTGAAGACTTAAGCAACTTTCGCTGTTGAGTACGAACCCTGGGTAAATTTCAAAGCACAAAGTGGAATTATTTACCTACATGCACATTCAAGGGGGTTTTAGCCAAAGACAATTTTGAGCCAGCCTTGAGCTGTTAAATCCATGTTACTATTAACTTGCCGTCATTACACTAGCATAGATAGACAGGTAGATTCGATTGTCGCCAGCAGGCTACGAGTATATATCATTTTTACTAACCCTTCCTGTTATTCAAACACACGCACACTCGTTCATGTTGTTCGTGACTTAGAGCTCATTCACTATCATATCTTTTAATCAACGTACGAGTTATAGTTTAAACTATCCAGGTAAACTTTTGATGTAAGGAATTCCAAATTAACTAGCGCCATGAAAACAAAGGAAGAATTAAAGAAGATCGCTTCCAACGCTATTGATAATGCAGCAGTTGAACTCAAAGAAATCAGTGACCAGATTTGGAAACACCCGGAACTTGGTAACGAGGAATTTTACGCACACGATCTTCTAACAGACTTCCTGGCTAAACATGGATTTCAGGTACATGTTAATACATTTAAAACAATAACTTTTTGTTGATTGTTAAATGTTATACAACTGACTTAAAAACTGAATGGCTTGAGCTTTATATTATGTTATTTCTACACACAACACATGACTTGCAATATACGGATTGCATTGAAACGAAATATTAAAAAATACAAAAAAGTTTATGAAGTTTCAATATGATATTGATAGTAATAATATACATTTACATTCTACAAAGCTTCACATTATGCACCTATCACACATATAGGACTGTCGTGTACAGGATGGCATTTTTGATTATATACCTTGGCATATTTATATGCTACCGCAACGCCAATCACAATTTTCGGCCCTTTTTGTCAGTCTTCGTCAGTCTTCGGACACAATAGTATGAATACACAGAACGAATACAATATTATTTTGGTCAAAAACTAAACATGTAAACAAATAGTTATTTAATACTGGGAGTTGTTCGCAATTTTTATCCAATATATCAAGTAAATGTCCACCTTTAATAAGTGAATTCATACACTACATTATTTAAAGATTTATTATTAAGGCTGTAGAAACCGAAAGTACAAAATACCAATCTGTTGACATTAAGTCGGATTTGTTTAAAATTGTACATCAGTGGGCATATTTAAATAAAAAAATGGTTGTCAGATATATTTTCAATTATAATTGTACCAAAACAGACTTTAACTTCGTTTGGATGTCAAATATATATACATTCGTTTTACATAATCGAAGATTACACTCTCTGTTTCTGATCTAAATTACATCTGAAACCACATGGCAGAACTATTTTCAATCCGTATTAAGTCCGATGTTATTATAAATAATATCCAAGGACGTTTCGATTGCTGTAACACACTCAACAACAACCACAAAAAAAACAACAAACCAACAACAACAACAACAACAACAAAAATAACACCACTACCAACATCAGCAATAACAACGTTTTTTAAACAAGATAACATTTAAACTGTTTTAACTAATTTTTTTTTCAGACGGAGAAGTCCTATAAAATGGACACAGCTTTCCGTGGATCATACGGCTCTTTGTCTGTCGGGCCAAATGTTGCAATTTTATGTGAATATGATGCCCTTCCTAGTCTAGGACATGCATGTGGTCATAATCTTATCTCAGAGTTAGGCTTAGCCGCTGGTATTGGCATAAAAGCTGCAATAGAACACGGGGATGAGCATTGCGGAAAGGTTAATAAATTCATAATAAGATTATCTATGCTGTAAGTTGTATTAAGATAGGCCACAGTTTGAATAAGGATATTGATGAAATTTAGCATAGCTTACTCTGCAAGAAGTGTTAATCTTAGTTGTTCTACTCTGTTTTGAATGGAATCGAGGAATAAATAAAAACTGAATGGTCAGTTTGGTAGGAGTTTTATACGATTATTACTTGATAACAATAGCATTCCAGTAATACATTCAACATATTCAGTTCATATACAGATAATAATATCTGTAATTTTGAATTTTCCACATAGCTTTCTGTTTTGTCGAACAGATGTTGAGATACTTGATCAATGAGAGATTCTTGCTAATATGTACTCTATTTGGCAGGTTACTGTTCTTGGTACACCAGATGAAGAGGGACACGGTGGTAAGATTGAACTTATTAAAGCTGGAGCGTTTGACGACGTCACCGCTGCTATGATGTCACATGGTTATCCAATTAGCGACCCAGCACCTGTTCTTCTTGCCAGAGAAACGTGATTATCTTTATAAATAAAGATTATTTAAATCTATATATTATATATTAGGCCTTGATAACCATTCTCTTCTGCAATAAGAACACTGATTGCAATCGTGTTTATATAAAATTATTGGCGGGGTTATGCTCAGATATATCTAGTGAACCAAACATCTGCATGCTAAAACTTGCTTTATTGTCAGGAAAATATCTTACATATAGATAAGCAATTAAGTTACATTTGTCTTTATTATTTCAGATTGGAGGTTACCTTCTACGGAAAGGCCTCGCATGCTGCAGGATATCCTTGGGAAGGCGTGAACGCTTTAGACGCAGCTGTTACATGCTATAACTCTATAGCATGTCTTCGACAACAGATTAAACCTACATGGAGGATACACAGTGCGTCAAATCATCATTTTTTGTTTGTTAAATAATTGCAATGGTCATTATTTTCAAAGGGAGCAAGAATTACCTTTATAATAGAAATGTATCGATATCGACGAACTTAAAAACCAAAACATTTTGATGTAGCATTCTACATAACCTTTCGATCCTTTTGACAATAAGTTCATTATGACATCATACTTCGTTTAGGTACCGCTCTATACACGTTCATGTATTCTGTAGTATGTGTGGGGTCGATCTGCACTGATTTGTTTATGAAAAAAGACACACATTTGCACAATTTAAACACGATTTCATTTTATGTTTGATTTTTGTTCATCTTGTTTTATAGCCTAATAGTAGTGAATGATATATGTTTACTATAAACAAACCTTTTTCTAAAGTAAATTATATTTTTGAATCATATAAAACTGGCACAACGAACACATGTTTCTGACTTTTATATATATTTTGCAAGTGAGCATATCTTATTTACTGAACAAAAAATGTATAAGAAATGAAAACTCTTTTGAGATCCAACATATCACACAAAAGATCCAATAATAAACATTTAATTATAAACATTGATATCAATATACTTACATCAAGTTTGATCTTATCCATATTGTTTGTGCACGTTCCAGCAATAATAATAGAGGGGGGTGAGAAGGTTAATATCATTCCGGAGAAAGCAGTTATTCAGGTTTGTGTTCGGGCACCAACTAACAAAGAAATGGAGGATCTAAAAGCTAAAATTACAGAAATTTTGAAATCATCAGCAAAAGCAAATGGGTGTCAGGTATTTATAAAAATTGATTATTTTTCTGATGACTAACACTGTTAATATAAACAAACTGTTCTTGTATTTACAATAGATTTGGATAATTTGAAAATGAACGATTCGATTATGTTATATAATTATGTTAATTATAACACAGTGTTATAAATGTGCACTGGTCAATAATTAGCAGACATAGATAGTTATTAACGAATCATTTTTTACAATCTTGTTTACAAGTTGCATGCTCTTGACTTTGACTGTGTGCTTATATTATGTCAAGGACAGGCATCTAAAAATAAGACTGAAGAATATTTGAGCTAGATTATTCGACAATTCCACTCACTCGGGCGTCGGCATCGGCGTTAGGCATTAGTGTAACATTTTTGTTATAGTTTTATCTTTTAATAAATTATGTGCAAAAGCATATCTCAGTTATTTGTTTGTAAATCATGTTCATTCATTTCAAAGTATCACATGTAATGATTGTTTTACAGGAGAAGCTTTACATTTATGGGAAATACTTTGAATTGTTACAGGTAGAATGGATAACATCCGACCAGCCGTTTGCTGCTATGGTCAACAATCCAACGCTCGTTTCTCTATACGAGCAAAATATTTCTTTAATACAAACAGACACGGTGCCGAGTGCAAAGGGCGGTCACTACGGTTCGACCGACATGGGAAATGTTTCTCAGGTTGTTCCCAGTATAAGGCCTATTTTCTACTTTGGAAGTGACGAAGCTAATCATACCCGTGGATTTGCAAAAGATTCGGGTAACATATTTTAATGGCATTTATTTTACGCAAATCTGACGATTTCTTACATACATAAATTTAAATTATGATATTTAATTGATATCATATCGTTTTTCAATATGAACATCTTTATTTTAACATTCATTTTTCCCTTTAAAGTTGGTTTAAACAAAGGCTGAGTGTCTCATTCAAACAAATATTGTCCTTTCGGTGGTTACAGATATTTAGGCTTATAAAACTCATTTTTGTCATCTGGACACCAAAATAAAAACGTTATTCGAAATGAAACATATTTTATTATTAAACGAAATGAAGATGTTTATTTTTTCATGAAAGTTATGGAATGCATCTTTAAATTGTATCAAATCTTTCAATGTCTCTAGATGTAATTTTATATCCGTTTGAAATTAAAAATTACTGTAGAGAAGAAATAAACGCAAAGTTAAAACAGATATAGTCTTCCTTTACTATTTTGCTTTTGTTTGATCATTTATTTCAGGCTCACCAAAAGCTCAACCGTACGCACTAATTCAAGCCAAAGTTCTTGCTCATACGGCTATTGATGTATTTATGGATACACGACTACAACAAGAGATTGAAAAAGAGTTTAAACAGATGAATCTTAACTAAATTTCTGTGATATTGACTAAAATCACCGGGATTTTCTAGTTACCAGTGTTTTATAAATTTTACGTAAGCATTATTTATTCCCTGTTTTGAGTGTTATTCTCTATCATTTGCATATTTTCAATCAATAACCGTCATCATTTACATACCTGTTGTATCACAGTTTGAGGACCTTTCTGTTGAAAATGTGTCAGAGTTAAATCGTATGCAAATACATGCACAGTGCGTCAATTGGTGTGCAGCTATAAGTTACCCACACTCCAGGGCATGCCCACTGATGGCTCATTTTTGCTGGGGTTTACTTATTGTGACGGCATAGAAAAGGAAAGCAATAGAAATATCATATTCAGATGCTTGTTCAATTGTTACTTTTTTCTGGGGATTCATATTGTGACAACATTGAACGTGTTTTTTTTATGTTTGACTATGATACAAAAGAGAAAGAACATCAAAATACTCGGCAATCTGATTAATACTCGTTAGTTACGCCTCCTGGTACAAATCAGATAGCCGCATGTTATGATGTTCTTTCTATTACTTTAAAAGTGATTTTGCCTTCATAGAGTGTGAGTATTTTATTTTCAAAAAGTTAAGTAAAGCCGTACGTATAACCTTCAACATTAAGTCATGTATTTGTGGTGTGTGTTTTGCTTAAATCATGGTATGTTTGTAAATCCTTTTTATGTTGATATAGACCGAAGGCCAAAATCAAATAAATCTATTGTCATTGTCATGGCTTAAAGTTAAGAATGTCTTAGAATAAACAGACATTAGATGAAAAGTAAGCATTCATTTTTTAAATTTACCTTTTTTTATGTATATCGTTAACTGAAAGTAACGAAAAATTAGCTGTATCATTTCTTGAAACACAAAAATGTTTCATTCTGGAATCAAGAAGTTTATCACAGGTTGTCTGTGGTTCTGTGTTGCTGGATTTTGTTGGGGACTTGCTGTTATTGAATGCCGCCTTTTCTTTTTAATCTTTATTCTGACAACCAACATCCACTAGGAGAATACACTTTATTGTTGTTATGATATCTCTGATAATAGTAAAACGCTAACAGATATGTCGTTTTATATAGTTATAGAACTATTTATGCAAAATTATTAACAATGACTACAAATGACAAGGCGTATCTGTCAGTTGTTTAATATACAAAGTCCATGCCAAAGACAAGTTTTAGTTAAATTCTATTCACGATAGATAGACTGAAATCAGCAGATAGCAATTGGTGTCATCAAAACAAGCAAAGCAAAATACAAAGTCATCAAACAGTGAAAGAAGTATTTATTACATGCACATTTTATTATGGTAAGAAGACAAGTATGAAAGGTCTTGTGTGGTATCTATTGTAAAAATGTTGTACCCATAGTATAAATCTATAAACCTTAAAATTTTTATCGTGTTTGTGGTCTTTATAATTATAAATGTTAAAATTTTATCATGTGTGAAAACTGTGTCTTCAAATATCTAATAGCACATTATGCGTTAGAAATGAATGTATATTCATTTCTTTAGAAAGGTCAAACATGAGTTTTGGAATATATATTCACTTCTTAAGACGGGTCAATCATTAGTTTTAGAATATATATTCACTTCTTTAGAGAGGTCTAACATGAGTTTTAGAATATATATTCACTATTTTAGACAGGTCATACATGAGTTTTATAATCTTTGAATAAAGGTGTAACAGCCTGTTAGTCGTTAATGACCTGAGGAAAATAGAGCTGAATAAGAAATAATATGTCTTAAAAGAAGAAAAATGTAAACAAAGTAGAATTTTGATTTCCTTACAAAATACTAAATCACTATAAATATAATAATTATAAAAGCAACAGAAAAGAACTGACAGTAATTTGCCAATGAGCAACTTGTTTGAATCTTTTGAAACAAAAAAGGAATGGATTTCTGATGAATAATAGGCTCTTAATAAACTTTTATTCTAAAATTGACAACTAAAGGGACTGCTCAATATAAAAACATCTGCGCCAGTGTGCTTGTCCTTCTAACGTTTTCCTCAAATTGCAGTCAATATATAACAGAATTGTTCTAAAATATCAATTTTAAGAAACATCACAAATATTTAAAAATTCATATTTGACTTCATACAGTATAAAACAACTGCACTAAATTCTGAGATGGCAGAATAGTAAATGTTGTTATAGGCAAAATAAAGGTTCAGAAGAAGATATAATTGACATTTTAAAGGCGTCACAATACAAATTATAGTCAGACTAGCTATTTTTCTTCCTCCCCAGCAGCACTTTTTCTAGTCCCATCATGGGTGATTCAAACGCCAGAGATACCACAAACGCTGCAGCATAAGATATACAGAGATGCCCCAGGAAGACATAAATCTGAAAAAGAGGAAATAAGGTTTGATGAAGAATGTGGTAAATATTTGTTTATATAATCCTTTTATTCATAATAATAAAGAGAGAAATTTTGTAAGTCTTTGGTTCACCAAACTTAGCCAGTAACGTGATAGCATGATCAAAGATGGGCGTTCTTCAATTGTAACACAAACTGGTTAAGTGAAGTGTAAGATGTGTTTTACTAAGGCTCTTTTTGCAGTCTAAAAGCAACGACGCCAGTAACAATAAAATCATTGTCCTATGTTGTAAGGAGTCATTACGTGAACTTGCACCTGTCAACAATTTCAAAGCACAAATGCCGGATGTCATCGAATTTTGAAATCAACGAATTTTGGGCCCCATATTTTTTACTAGGAATTTGAAATCCACGAATTTACGACCCCACGAAATTGCCTTCTGTCGGCATATCAGGAAATCGATACCCTCGATTTAAAATGATTTTACAGTACATCATATAATGGAGAAAAATTGAATCGCTATAGAATGTCCCAAAACGACAAATATGAAAATGTAGCAGACTCGGTTTGATTGAGTCAGTTCATTGGCGGTACTGAAAAGTGAAAATTACCGTCCACGCCCCGCTTTAAGCAGAATTTAACATTTAAACATAAGAATGATGACACTTTAAAACAAGAAACATTCTTACATGTGTTCAAACGGCGGTATTGGAACTTTCAATATGTCACGTAAGTGTCATTCCATGATCATCAAAAGCGGTTACTGTCATTCCATGATCATGAAATGCAGATAATTAAAAAATGTCCTAACCAAGAGGAACTAAATAAAATGGAAGATTGAAAGAGAATAAGAGGTTATGAAGTCTGCCATACTTACCACTTCTAGGTCATACCAGAACGCATAAGCTCTTCTACTGGCTAAATGCACGTAAATCACTATTGGATGGACAAGATAAGCGCAATAAGTGAGACGACTGAAAGGAATTATCCCTTCCCACGACAGCAACTTGTTTACAGGTCCTGAAAATACATTTGAATAAGTTTCTTTCCTTTTTGAAATATATTGATACCCATTCAAAGACATGGTACATAAAACGCGCTGTTTTTTTCCATTAGTGTTTATATTCAATATTCATACAATTGAGATAGTTTTGTTTCATCTTCTGTAGTTATCTTTTTATCTAAATATATACAATGTATTTGGTTTCGTTTTGAATCACACCGACAGTTTAACGCTCATACAGTGATATTCCAAATTTGATTCACTTTTTGTGTGAAAAAGATCTCTAGCAAGGCTAGGGCAGGCTATAAGGTACAAAAATCGACTGGCACCCTTCGGCAACGGATGCCAAAGTATCGATCTTTCAACCAATATTTTGAGCCTTACAATAAATATTTTATATGAATTATGCATGTATTTTCAAATTAAAGATTTCGTCTTACAAAATTTTATCAGAATAAAAACAGTTTCGAAATTCTAACGGTATCTTAATTCTTTGGAAATAAAAAGTTGTTGCATGGTATGCATTTCATATCTTACAGAATGTATAAGTGCATATTTGATCACTGGTGAGCAAGGCATATGTATACTGACCTCCATAACCAGTAGCGCATGCAAAAATCACCCACGCAACACTTATACCCCAGGCAGTTCTAGATGTAGCATTGTATAGGGCAGACACGCTATTTGAAAGGTCTGGTGGAGTTCCGTCTGGTGTGTACAGTCCATATAGCACACTGACCGCCATAGCTGTTGCTATAAGCCATCCTACCATGTTTGCAAGCTGTGAATATAATACAACTATGTAAAACAAACAAATTCACCAATATATTTAACCCTTAAACTACTTAAAGCTGCATGCCTCCAGATTCATGCTATTTATTACGAAAATTTTGAAAATGTATTTAAAAGTTAAATATTATGTAGTAAACTAAGAAAGTAATTAACATTTTGCATGCGGCATTTACAATCCACGTAAATCACCAAAAACGATTTCAAAATAGGCAAAAACAGTCCTTACTGCGTTAGAAATGTGAAATTTAAATATGTAAATTATTATTTGAATCTTGAATATTAGTCTTCTCTTAAAATCTTACTATATTAAATCTCAAATTTAAATTTGATTTTCATGAAAATAGTTTGACTCATCTGGAGGCATTATAAATAGGACAAATAACTCCTATTAAGGTTCCAATCCTTATTTGACTTCATATGATTTTGCGTATTATAAAAAATGTTCAAATTAAATAATTATAGTAATATATCTGACAACTTTGAATTTAAATTGTATCCTGGTATGAAATAATAGCGTGTGATATTTAATTTAACTCATGACATATGGTGCTATATCAGTCAATTATATTTCATGATTGTTAAAAATAGATATAAAATATAAATATGAAAGTGGGCGGAGTCAAAACTCATTTATTTTTAGGGAAAACTCATTTTTTAGGGACTACTTCCTCATGATTATTTCAGCTTCATTTCAGAGATTGGTATCCACCTCTTCTTGAAAATGAAATCAAATAAAAAGGTTATTTTTTCTATTTTAACATTCAAGACGATAAAATACCATATATTTTCACTCGACGTTTTGAGTCGAGAAAATATATGGTATTTCATCATGTTTTCGTGAAAATATATTCAATATTTCACATAAACGAAAAAATATCCTTAATAAGTCTTATTGTTTTTTTAAGAAATCTTTCCATTATGCATAATCGCCTCTTAGTCATCTTGAGACAATAGTCTGCATACAAAAATGAGATAACGATATATACACTGTACCTTCGACATTTTCACCTTGCATTCCGTTCTATACAAAATATATCCCAATGCAAATCCAATAACATAGGGTCCTATACGATTCCAGGGCTTGAAATACAATTTATCCATACCAGCCAAGGTATCTTTACTGTTAACAAAAATAAAAGTTATTCGACATGATCACGAAACGTTTTTCGACAATAAAATGCAAACATTACTTGCATTTAAGCATATCATGCATTTAAGCATTACGTGCATTTGAAACTGATTAAATTATCAAAATTTCTATACGAATTAATTTGTAGAAAAAACGACAACAAAAATCAACAAAACATATGACTTACATACATTTGTAATATATGAAAACATACTTAAACATAATGTTTGATGAAAACTCATTTTGACTGGATATGACTCCAGCACTGATGAAGCTTATCAATAAAAATCCCAAGCAAGCGATACTTCCGGCAACAGGGGAGCTATAATCAAACAAAGATACGAAAAAACATTATAATATGATGTTAGGATGTTTGAGCCATTTTGACATACACCATTGTTATAAAGACTTTGAGTCGTCAACAAATAATGGCTGGCCCGGGGATGGGAGACACTATCTTTATTATTGTCTTACATTCAAATAAAACAATATTAAACCGAGTATGTGGAATCTGATAAAACCTTGTTTAACTATACAGAAAAAATCGTAGAGATCTAGTAACAAACAAAAAAATCGTAAAAGGTGAAAATGTAACAATTGTTTTTGATATAAAAACATTAAAGTGAAGGATATGGAATATTCTAAATGTTACAGGAATACACCATTAAATGTGTAACAAAAATGATCACCATTTATAACTCTTATTAAAGTGAAACACTGACCTAGTGGATAAGATGAGCCTCTCAACCCTGGGATCATGGGTTCGAACCCTAATCGGGCAACGACCATGTTTCTTCATATGACACCGGCACTTGTTGGTTCCAGTAAGCGGACTCGAAAGTGATTAATATACGTTGCAAGAACTTTTTTGCAATCGATCTTAAATAAAAATGTTTAACCCAAAACTTTTCAGTCTGTTTAGAGTATTGCTGAATATATGTCAATCGTGATTCCTTAGAAATTTTGCTTAGTGTTTGGTTATAGACCAAATAAAAAACTTACTAGAATAGTGGAACCAGCATAAGAGGACTCAGCACATAAAATTGCATATCATTGGCCAGGTACCAGCTCCATCCCATACACTGAAATAAACAAAAACAAACAAGTGTTGGGAGTGCGGCGGCGCGTACAAGTGGTTTACGTGTCGGACCAGTAATCTAAGGATTTCTGTGCGTGTGGGTTCAAACCCTGTCAAGGGCAAGCCGTTGTAAGTGTAAGCAAGAAACGCCATTCTCATTGCTTATTACTTAGTTGGTTCCAGGAATAGATTCGAAAGTGTTTCAGTACGCTTGTAGCTTTGAACATTATCGGACTAAAGTTTACTTATAAACTAAACATTTCAAGATATACTATGCTCAAATTTGATAATATTGATAATTGTATCTTTGTAAATATAAAATAAACACATTTTGACTTCACACGAAGTAGGTAAGTTATGTTCAAAATTCTACACACTATTGGTGGTCACAGTATGAATATATATTGCTATCAAAAAGAAAATGGCATTAAAAAACAACAACAAACTGTTTTCAGTGATTAAAATATTTTAGCAAAGGAAAAATTTATATATACATGTATTTTATAAAGCTTGTCCTCTTCGCTAATACATGTAATACCATCAAGTTATTTTTTGCATATCAGACTGGTGTTTCCGTTAACTTTACACCATGTAGAAATTATACCTGGCATTGGGCTGCTAAATGAGTCCCGGGACATAAATTTCGGCGCAATTTACTTATGAACTATGTTCAAAAGATGATATTGTTTCGTCGTTATGAATGAATTTGAAGTAGTAAATGCATACACTACTATACGAAAAAGTAACAGATAAAATGTAAGAAGTTTCGATGAAAAAAAAATAATTCATTGAGGTTAACCATTTACATTATGGAAGAAAATTTAAGAAAAAGTTAATATGTGGTGGTGTTGGTAGTTTTCACTCATAATAACGACAGAAAAACAACATTGAATTCACCAGAGCACAGTTCAGCCACCTCACCGTTCCTGGGCAGGCCGTTTGGCAATTTATCACTACAAGTTGCCTTCAGTGTGGGAAGGAACTGAATAATTCTCTACATGCCAGAGCAGAGGTACAGTGCGAATGACAGTAGAAAGGATTCCATGATCAATCACATCGAAAGTGAACTGCGGCTTCCGGTTCGCACGATTCACAGTCCAACGTTCTACCTATTGAGCTTTTCGGACGGCTATAAAAATCATTTTGCCCGGAATATACGTCATTCCATAACCTGCCCATTGGCAATATCGGCAAATCTCGACTAGTCTCGTTGCCGCCAAAAGATCAGATGTTATTGAGACCGGAACTGATACGAACCGCAACATATGACTTACATTTACCTACCTTGGAGCAAACATTCAACCTCAATTCCAACATAGCCTTTTTAGTTCAACGTTATTTACTTGCCATCATTATAGCACATTGTATGACCTTCTCGAATATATAATCCGATTTATGTTTTGCTTAAAATTTTTTTAAGCAAATATACAAATAAGACGAGACCCTGTCCCCAACATGATACGCCCCTGTTAACATTATATTATTTAAACACGGATGGGGCATCTTTTTCAACGATAAAACTGGTTTCAAACAATTTTGGCATAGATAAAAAGATGCCTTGTTCCATTAAGTCTCAGTAAAATAAAAAATACTGCAGACTCTAAAATGTATAGAGTTTACAGGGGCATATCACGTTGGGGTGGGATGGGGAGGGTAGGGGTCTGATCCGTTACCGCATTTTAAGAAATCATACTCACTTGTCTGTCCGACTTGTAGATATTATTGATGTACAGTAAATTGGTCCACCATGTGTCTTTGCATTCATCAACGTCAATTCCTTGCTGTGGCCAAACAGGTCCGCTTGACCAGTATTTGAACGTTGGAACATACAGCATCAGTAGTAACATGTATGGTGGTGTCAGCCTGTAATGAACAGGATTTGTATATACAAGAAATGCAAATAATGATATCGATTTACAGCTATGATGTTAAAGGACTTTTTTCTATATGACTGGACTTGAAATATAAATTTATTCGAAATTAATTATTTTTCATGTAGGTCTAGGCATATCATTTCAGATCATTACTGAACATAAATTTCTCTAGTTGTGAAAGGTTACAATCAGATAAAAAGCAAATTACAATTTTCAGTTTTATTCCGAGTATATTTGTTAGATCTATCTTGTGCATATCAATCCGTTCTTTAACTACGTAAGAAAATAAATTTTTATGTTTTTAAACTTTTAAAAACCTCAGACGTGTTCGTCTAATACATATATATTGTAGTTATTAAATAGACGGCGTACAATGTGCGTTATTGAGAAAATCCACTTTGTCGCTTTGAACAAATATGGCTTTCTAATGCAAAGATGGTGTTATGTGAATTTTTTTATCTAATCAGAGTTCTAATATCTTGTTCGGTATCAACTTTTGTCAGGGTAAAAACTAATAAACTTACCTCCAGTATCTATGGAAGTAAAAGAGTAGCCAATTAAACTTCAATGCCCCTCCTCTTTTTTTCAATTCCTTTAATGATAGGTAAGATACCAACAGGCCACTGAAAAAAAATAAAAAAATACAGGAAAAAAAAACAACAATGATATTGGTCTCTACAACAGTATTTTCTTCGATAATTTAGCACTCTGTAAAATTATTTTCTATCATATAGGACTTTACAACAGTATTGCTATAGATGATTATGGACTCTACAACAGTATTTCTATGGATGATTTAGGACTTTGTAAAAATATTTTCTATCAATCATATAGGACTTAACAACACAATTTCTATCGATGTTTGAGGACTATACAACAGTATTGCTATTGATGCATGAGGACTCTTTAACAGTATTTTAATGGATAATGTAGGACTCTTTAGGACTATTTTCCATCAATGATATAGGGCTCTACAACAGTATTTTCATCGATAATTTAATTAGGACTATGTAAAATTATTTTCCAGCAATGATATAGGACTTTATAAAAGTATTGCTATCGATAATAACAAGGGTATGTATGACAAGCAATGGGATGGAACCAGCTAAAAAACGCTTCTTTATAAATGTAAAGGACAATCATGTTGTTTTTGAGTATACTTAAGCAAGAAACAATTTTATAAGTGAAAGATATACTTATGCCGTACCGTGATATTTGTCATTTGATCATTTATATTTCGGACCAAATTAATATGTGCTATAAAAACAGAGGAAATATAACTTTGATAAAAGCATAATCTTTTGTAAGGGTGCTAGCTACCTGAGAACGAAAAACGTGTCAACCGACACGGTCGCGTTCATAACAGCCTGGAATGTAAATCGTTTCAACAGCTCTGGGAAATACCTTGCCGAGTTAGCTATAATAGAAAAAAAGAGAAAAATTTGATTTGCAGCATCTAAAATGATAAAACTGTTCTCTATTTTTTTAATCAATGCAATACATCTATTTTTGTAGCCAATATATTTGAAGTCAATTTTAATTTGCAATTGACGACGGTGTATTTGACGCTCCTGCCAATTCCAAAACTGATTGCTTTATCGATTAATGCAAAAGATATGGTAAACAACTGAAAGAACTTAAATGATACTGCATTTAATTTTATATAAACAATACAAACTGCCATCCAACAAATATCATTTCAGAACATGACTTTGTATCTAGCTGTTTATTAATTTTAAAACTTAATGAAATTTGTGCAGGGTTACTTTTCCATGTTTTAAAACAATGACTTACGAATTGGATTAACTACAGTTCCAAATTTAATCAATTTCCACCCATGAAGTTTGGGTGGAAATTACATTGAGTGTCATTGTAAGAATGGTTCTTAAAAATGAGATTGTGTAGAAAAGCGTTCTTTATTCTTAGTTTTTTTGTTTCACTGTATCGGAAATGCTTTTATCTTTATTTTTCAAAAATGCCTAAGGCTTGTTATAGTTTCCTAAAAACTCACTGGTCAATTACCTAGTTTAAAAATATCTTATTCCTCAGAATATATATGCATGCCTAAATTTATTATATGCGCAAAGCATAACAAATATTCTTACAAAATAGGATAAGAATGTAAGTCAAAGTGTCTGATAAATTTTCTCCTTAAATTACTTGAACAACTTTAAAAAAATTTCTGTTGCTTTTTGTCCATCACTATAGCTGATTATAGAAGTAATTAAGTATTTTGTACAAAAGTCAAACTACTACATTTGTACTTTGGTTACATTTTGCTCCTTTTTATAACATATACATGAAACTCTACTTTCTTCAGGTGATAAGTATATGCCTAGCTCTTTATAAAACTCATGTCTTCCTTTCTAAAGAAGAAAAAAAATCGCTTCTGAGACATAATGTGTCTTAAATGAGTAATTATTAGCATATATGTTAAAAAGTTTATATGTATACCTATTGATTGTGCTCCAAACCCATATGTATGACCAAGAATTACCCATGTCATACTTAGGAAGCGAATCCCATTCACACATGTCAGCGTTCCTTTAGGTTGACTCGTGTTGAGGATTTTAGGAGCGTTTGTGTATACAGAGAAAGAGAGTAGAAGCTTTCCGAGAATACCTGAAATAAACATATATATTACACATATATAATTCAATAAAAAACTGTTTAGACACTTCATTTTATTACATAAATAATCACTTTCTTTGTTATGAGGTAGAAACAGACAAGATTATAAAAAATCAAAAATAAAACTATCCATACATCTATCAAGTTTTTGTCGTCTGCTGATATATCATATACCGGAAGCAAAAAACTATAGAATAAGAAAAATCTTGAAAAAGGCGACAACTCAAGAGCAAAGATAACATAGCAAATGACAATTCATGACTCGGTTTTGTTGTGTATGTTCATAAGAAGCAAGGCAATATAATCAATGACCACCCTCCCCCTCCCCTGCAAAAAAAAAATTAAAAAATACAAAAAAACCCAACAAAAACACTGGAGTCATGTATTTCCTTTTTCATAGTACAATACCTGGTTTGTAAGATGGCTTTCCATGAGCACTTTTTTCAGCCTTTGCTTTTTCCAAGTCCGTAAAGCCATTCGACATATCGCCACTCTTAAAAGCAGTCTTATCACCATTGGCAAAGTCTTCTTTTGTTACAGTATAAGCATTATTATCTATACCATTCACTGTTTTAAGTTCACATGCTTGCTGGAATAAAAACATATGCAATAAATGGAGTGTGATTCTAAGTAATTGCATCAATAGCAAGATAAAAAGCAATTTTGTATATATAAATTCATTGTTCATTTCTATTGTTTTGGAAGCTATTAGCTTTGGGAATTATACATTCTCGAATCTGTTCCTGAAACAACCAAAACTAAGCATTTTTTTAATATGCCTAGAATTTATGCTATCCTTGAATCTAATATAAGACTACTTTTAAATTATGTAATCAAAACTACTGTTCTAACCAAGTTCTAATCAATTCTTGTTTGTTTTTTTTACTAACATTGGTATTTCAAAACTTTCAACTTTTCTTTCAATATAATATCAAGGGCAACTATAATCTAATAAGTGTTTTATCAATTCAAATAGTAACTGCATAACATTTTAAGTATTTATATTCCCTTTAAAACCTTATATTGACCTATATTTCATTATGATAATTTAAACTTAGTATTCACCTTTTCAGATTTGTTTGATTTAGTCTGGAGACAGTGTTGAATAATCACATCGTAAAGTGTGGCAAGGAAAATTATTCCGGCGAAAACGGCACCGACGATGCTAAATGATAACAAAACATGAACACATTCAACAAAAGTTCATAAACATTTATTTTTATAATTTTACAAACTTAGCAATAATTCACAATGCCGTTTTTCACAGTTTAGATATATATTTTACATTTTTATGCCCCCACAATGTGGGAGCATACAGCGTTGCACTTGTCCGTCCGTCCGTCCGTCAGTCCGTCCGTCAGTCAGTCCGTCCGTACGTCCCGAAATCTTGTGAACGCAACTCCTCTTAAACCGGATGGCAGATTTTGCTTAAACTTACAGGGATGAACAACCTTAATGTGTAGATGGCAGTAAAGGAAGGAATTTTTGCTGCGACCAAATTTAACAGAATTATGGCCCTTTGTTGTTTTTTTCACTATATACTATGTAGAAATTTTGTGAACGCAACTCCTCTTAAACCGGATGGCAGATTTTGCTTAAACTTACAGGGATGAACAACCTTAAGGTGTAGATGGTAGTAAAGGAAGGAATTTTCGCTGCGACCAAATTTAACAGAATTATGGCCCTTTGTTGATTTTTTCACTTTATACTATGTAGAAATTTTGTGAACGCAACTTCTCTTAAACCGGATGGCAGATTTTGCTTAAACTTCCAGGGATTAACAACCTTAATGTGTAGATCGTATTAAAGGAAGGATATTTTGCTGCGACCAAATTTAACAGAATTATGGCCGTTTGTTGATTTTTAGTTTTCAACTTGTGGCACATGTAGTCCAAAAAATATTTGACCTAGAGTCATAAGATTGACAGAACAGTGGCGTGTGGGGGCATCAGTGTCCTATGGACACATTTCTAGTTTTACTTATCTTGATTAAAAATAAAGTTCTTATTACAAATTATTGTGTATCTATAAAGTTCTTATTAAACATAGTTGTGTATTTAACCGATTTAACTATTTTAGTTGGATATCATTATCATAGTTTTGCAGTAAATTTGTTCACTTAAATTGACTAAATTGAAAACATTTTGGTGGTTTTAGTCAGACAATTACAAAATCGATAGGAATTACTTTAAATGTACATAGTCTTACGTTGCGGTGTCGTTTAAGTCAGGCAGTTGCAAAATCAATACAAATTACTTTAAATGTGCATTGTCTAAGAATATCTAGAACTAAAAGTCTTAATTTATGTCTGTAGAACATACCAGACTATAAGAGCCTTGTCTGTGAACTCGATACTCTTCTCCTGACATGTCATGTATAAAGTGGGCAACGTCATGTTTCTAAACAGTTTGGAAGCGACTGTAGAAAAAAGATAAAGAGTACTTGATAGTATAATAGTGACCCGAAAACGGTACCAGAGAACGACCCTTAACGTCACTTACTTTTTTCATAAACATATTGAATTCTTTAGAAATTCAATTATTGCTCTTGAAATAAATAAAAATTTTTGCTTTTGAAATTTTGCTTATTGTTACATATTCATGTTTATCTTTTTACTTTTCAAGGGTTATTATAACCTTTTGTAAAATGACGTCAATGGTCGTTTTCTAATGCCGGCGTTAGTCTGATAACAATAAAGCATGTGTTACATATGATAACGTTCTGTCACATACGTATCGCGATATTTGTGACATTTAATGTTTACTTCCGAAGATTGCAGTTCATGATGCATATTGCAATACTTGCTATTTTCTCTGTCCCCCCCCCCCAAAAAAAAAAACAACAACAACAAAACAAAACATTTCAGCTCACGATGCACATTGCGATTTTATTGCCCTCTATATGTTTCACGATACTTACTTCCTATTTGAAACCAGCATGTGTTAAAAGTATATATAAAACACTCTATCAGCTATTGCAAGATTAAGGCACACCATTATGTTGAGATAACATAAACTTTGTGAACGTAAAAAAGAAAACACACTGAATTCAAAAACCTATTAAGTTTTCGATCTGTTTTTAGTTGAAACATATTTATTTTAGCTCTATCGCAAAACAATTAAGAAAAATGGTCCTGACCCCATGAAGGCTCAAACCCATGATCGCAGACACTTTAGCCATTAGCTAGGCCACCACTCCTCACTATCTATTTTGAACTTATCAAAGCTTGTATTAATCACATTCTTGAAGTGACTCTGCAAAACGATATTCAGTCTTATCGCTGTATTGCAATGTGAAATAAGCATTGCACTGCGGTACTATTTATTTCCGATACTGAATTGAGTTGATATATCGAAATGCCTCTATGACATTACGTCTGGTTCATGTAAATAAAATCATTTTTAAATTTATCTAAAAATTATGCATACATTACATGTAATAGAAACAGATTAACACATGAATTGTTCGATAAGAAATAATACATAAATTACACGTGTTCGGTTATATGAAAAAATATGGTTAGTGTGAATATATGAAACTAATATATTTTTTCGATAAATGGCGATGACGCGATACATTGATGAATCGTTACACGTCTAGTTCATGTAAATACAATCGATTTTATACTTAAAATAATACATACATCACACGTGCACTGTGAAAGTAATATAAACTCATTCAAAGGAAATGATAACCGAGATAGATAAAGATGTGCAATTGCTATAATACATTTTTTTTTTTGCTCTTTTATCTACAATTTATTGAATACATACTTGAAATTATATCATTTCACATCACCCCAGGAATATATATCTTAAATATTTAAGTTTCTATTTCTTATTCATATGACCTTGGCATATATCTGCACGAGGCATTAACTCGTGTGGATTTTAACAAGTTTTGGTTTCATCCAAATTTAAAAAAAAGAAACGTATATCAAAAATCAAGACATGATAAAGAGAATACCAAACAAGGGTCTATTAATTGTGTAGGTGATATTATAGAATTTATCAGGCTCGGAAAGAAAACAAAATGATAAAAAATGACGAAGCTTTCTTTTTTAAGACTTGCCTGATAAGTTTTGTAAAAAACAGACACTCACATGGTATTCTTTATTTATATTTGTCTTATCAACCTTGTCGTTGACATTCTTTTGGTAAGCGCGCGTAGTGTTTATCCAGATAGTCGCTATATTTAAAGCAGCATGTCTGCAGTTTCAAAAATATTTCATTAACATTTTTAAGATTATTGTATATGAATAGTGTCAAGTTACAAAGACAGTAATTTACATATTGCAAACGAAAATGAGAATATACAAAAATCACGCCCCACCTCAAATGCAAAAACAGCTCTTATTGCGCTTGTCACGCTCTAGAAATATAGTTATAAATACTGCAAATCAACCATTTTATGTAAATTATTTCTTCAATTGTGATTTTTTTCAATTTTTCTTTAAATTTAAGTACATCTTTCTAACGGTCGATGGTCTTGAAGTTCCGCCCATTGTTTCCTCGTTAAGGGCACACACTTTTTATTACTTGGGGACCATACGCCGCTTTTCATGGAATGGCACGGAAGTGTCACATTGAAGGTTCCATGATAACCGCCGTATGAACACATCTGCGGATGTTTCTAAATTCAAAATTTTACTATTTCATGTTTAAATGTTGAATTCTGCTTAAGCCGGTGCTAGGGGGCGTGGACGGTAACTTGCACTTTCCAGTACCGTCCATGAACAGGCTCAATCAAACCGAGCCTGCAACATTTTCAATTTTGCCGTGTTGGGCTTTCTTTAGGGATTCTATATTTATCTAGTTTGAAATAATTTGGGTCATCTGGAGGCATGCAGCTTTAAATTACCCGTTAAATAAACGCTGTTGAAGACAGTTTATGCTAAAAAGACTGTAAGAAATTTCCAAATTAAGGCCCCCTGATTGGACGAAAAGATAATGACCAAGAACACTGACAGATGAACTGCACATATTTGACTGTAATCTGACGTGTAAAATAAAACACGACAGAATTAATGCGCGTGTGTGTGTTTGAGTTTATTCAAACTCGCCACCGGTTGCCAATATAAGTTCTCCAGAAGAGTATTTGTCATTTCAGATTTTAGAAAATAGTGCAAGAAGCAGAAAGATGCCCTGATTCCAGAAGTCTCTCCTGGTTCTTTAGCATGCCAAGCGTTTAAGCACTCAAACACTAGACATCTCATCCGATAGACATGATTAAACTGGGCCAGTCCGGGAATCGAATCCACTCTCGCGCTCTAACCGACTGAGCTATGCTATTGAGAATTAACAATACTATTAGGTCATTTTTACTATTCAAAACGACGAAAATACACATGCCCAATTAGTACAAAATCAAATAAACAACTTTATCTTTTGTCACAAGGATTAATAATATCCAAATACTTATTTACATTATTATCTGTTTAAGTATATCTGGTTTATGTCAACAAACTTAAAAATGGTAGATGATATAAAATTGATAAAGTTTTTTTGATGAATGTGAAATGAGAAAAAAACTGTAACGGAATGATATGACAGTTTCACGCTATGTATGACTGTATCATAGTTTGGGGACCTTTCTATTGAAAATGTTTCAAGGGTAAAATTGTTTACATATATAACTGGAGTGCAGGCATACCAGAGCATGCCCATTGATTGGCTCATTTTTGCTGAGGTTTACTTATTGTGACGGCAGAGAAAGGGAAAGCGATAGAAATATCATATTCAGATGCTCGTTCATTGGTTACAATTTTTCTGGGGTGTCATATATATGTTTTTATGTTTGTCTTTGATACAAAAAAGAAAAACATCAAACACTCGGCAATCTGACAAATACTGGGGGCTACGCCCCCCTCCCCTCGTACAAATCAGATAGCCTTGTGTTTCGATACTTTTTCTATTACTTAGCATATGGCCGTGATAGTGTGTCATGCATTAATTAGCTTTACCTGAAATGAACTCCACTGAGTTATACATAAAATGTAAATTCCATAAAGCGACTTAATTTTTAAACCAAAGAGATATTAAATAAATCAGGAAACAAAGTGATCCCTCGGAAGCATTAATCACAACAAAATTACATGAAAATTGCAGACTCGGTTTTACTTGGTCTGTACATGAGGGATAATAAATAAGTGCAACATCCCTCACACCCTCTAGTACCTGCTTGAGCGGTAATCAATTCAAAAGATGATTAAGAAATATATTACAAAATAAATCGAAAAGCACATTTTTGTGCTATTCTTATCCGATTTAAGTTAAAAGCAAATTATTTGGAATTATGTACATAAATCTCGAAAACATTATTTCCGGTCATGTGACGAAAAAATGAAAACTTAGAGATTGTGGATGATCAAAAGTATAATTGGCTAATGCAGTCCATTAACGCATTGACGAATGCAGGACAAAAGACTTCCCGAACAAAGTCCAATCCTTGTCCAAAAATGACAAGGCGGACAAAAGCTCTCCCTTGAAAATACAATAAATAATACTATAGCTATTTACAGGTTGGAAATGCTAGAAAATTGAGTTGAAGAGTTAAAGTCAGCATAATTATATTTTGATAATATATATCTAACCTGTCATCATGAGAACAGTACCGTCCCTGTTCGAGCATGAATCTGGTATACACAATCCAATTTTAGCCGCAAGTGGCCCCGCAAAAGTTACAGCCTGAAAAATACACAATTTGTTAAGATCGCAAAAGAAATAATAGATTAAATCTAGATCATCTATCATGATAAGATTGCTATGAATTTCTATACCATATCATTATGAGATATAAGTTTAGGGTTGTATATCATTTTAAGAGGCATTTTTTGTTTTGCATTATTATACAATTTTTGACAAATGAGCCATTAAATATGATGTGATATTCACCTGTAAATTTCATTTTGGCCAAAGCGATAGCCGTTGAATATCACATCATATCTAATGGATCATTAGTCAATAATGTTTTATAACATGATCAACCTAAGATTTAAAAAACAACAACACAAAACGTAAAGCGTTATATTAAAAACAAATTATCAATGTACTATAAATAAATATGTAGAAACACCATGTAAGACAATAATATGGCCAGTTGTATATCATTTTTAGTAACAGTTTAATATAATAGTTAAATACCATTTATATATTATATCTTTTATCGACAGGTTTGTATATGATTCTATAGGACAATTAACAACCATGCATTTACACAACTTTTGTTGCCAAAACACATTTACGAAATACTATTTTATCAAAGAGGTGTAGCAAGGTTATAAGAGTTTAAAAAAAGAGAACATAGACGAGGTTCACAGAACACAGCCCCAACACAATCCAGTGAATAAAAAAGAAACAAAAAAATAACAACAACAACAAAAAACACTGGGACAAACCTCTGATGTCAACTGTACATTTCCTGTACAGTATTTTCCAGTATATGGATGGTCTAGTCCTTGTTTCTTCTCTGGATCAGTGTACCTGTCCGCTTGTATCGCAATACATTCGTCATAATTACCCATCATATTCAGGTTATAATCCATTAGTCCTGTTCCTGGCTTTCCAAATGCGTCAATCACTAAAATTACACAAAATATACATTATTCTATTGAAAGTTATCTACAACAAATCTAGATTTATGTTATATTTGCTTTCCCTTAAAATATTTTACATAAATTAATTATGACATTTTTCTGTAAGAACAACAACAACATCAAGTCGGCTGAAATCAATCACAATAACTTGTGCAAACAGTTTGATATCAGATCAGACATATTTTTCCCATATTTATAGTGTTTTTATTTGGTTTATTATCTCATGTCCATCACTTAATTATCTCGTGCGCACGACTTAGTAACTCGTCGTCGCGGCATAGGATCTCGTGCGCACCACCTAACTATCACGTATGCACGACTAAGTAACTAGTGGCCACAACATAGTATTTCGTGGCCACGACATAATATCTCGTGCGCATGAGATAGATAAAAATTCACACCCTGTTCCACTGTATAAATAGACGAAATTTAAGCACAAATGAGCCGCGTCACGACAAAACCAACATAGTGCGTTTGCGAGCAGCATGGATCCAGACCAGCCTGCGCATCCGCGTAGTCTGATCAGGATCCATGCTGTTCGCTACCAGTTTCTCTACTTGTGATAGAGTTGGTAAGCGAAAAACATGGATCCTGATCAGACTGTGCGGATGCGCAGGCTGATCTGGATCCATGCTGGTCGGAAAACCATAATGTTGGTTTTGTCGTGACGCGGCTCAAATAATCATAGTATTAGAAGCTTGTAAGGCTTAAGTAGCGCACGGTCGGACATAATATGCATCAAAAGATCATCAAGGTATAGTCAAGTAAAGCAGGTAATAACAGAAGTAAGAAAATCCGATTCTTGTTTGTAATAATGTAATAAATAATAACTCTACTACTATTAGAATTAATAGAAATAAGATTTGACAATAAAAATACCGATATAAAAATGTTTAAATTATTTTTAAGAAACTATGTTAAAAGGGGAAAAACCCAATTTTCCATTGTTCAAGTTATATATTTTAACAAAAAGACATTATTGACATTGTAAATATAGTGATGTGAGGCTTTTTTATCATTCAACAATCATTTAGAGAAATACATACTTCGAAGAGCCCAGTTCTCTCTGCGAAGCAGCGCCTCTATAAATAGCTCTGTGTGATTAAGACATAGAGGACTGGTGTAGTTCCTCGCCGCGTCATCTAATCCCTCCGTTAATATGTCTGAGGCATAATGTACTAACATGTCCTGATTCTGCTTTATAAAAGGTCCAATAAATGATAAAAGGTTCCCACTAGAAAGTCCGCCTTGCTGCATCCCTCCAACATTTGCAAATCCATTTATCAGATTTGCCAAATAATTACCAGTGTCTTGACAAAACACTCCTTGGATTACCGTTAAAGTAATAATCCATTTAACAACCTGCATTTTTTTGTTTTCGTTATTTCATTAATATTTCGGGATGTTTAGTTTTGATGTTTCATAACACCGAGTGTTAAAAAGTTTATCATCACTAGTTTATATAGTTGCTCATAAGTGTCAGAAAGTAAATGCAAGGGCTGATAAATAAATTTCAACACTTACAATCGCTGTTTAGATATTCACTTCAATTTAATTTCCTGCTCTCCAGATTATTCTTTTGTTTCTGAAAAATAACCGCGGACAAATAAACCTATACATAAAATGCTTCCTATAACTCATATTTTTCCGTGATGCGAAACCATGTGAATATTTGATATTTTAAACACAGGGTATCACTTTTTGTACTGTTTTTTTTATTTATTTTTAAAACATTCTGTTTTACTCTCTAAAACGACAGGGCTCTACACTTATCTGATGAAAACAATTAAAATATTTAAAAACTTCAAAGAAAATAAAATCTTCACTGTCTATTGTAATGGTTTTTATGTCCCAGTCAAATTATAAAATGTCACGTGGTATAAGCACTGTGACCAATATTGTACAATTATTGACTAGTGAGCTATTGATTATGAAGACTTAGTGATATTCACCGATAAATGTCATATTGACAGAGGCGACACCTAGTTATTACTGCGCACTTGTATATCATATTCACCCAGTGAATACGATTAACGCACGCGCAGTTAATCGTCGTTGCTGTACATGGTTATTGAATATGAGTCTGAATCTATTTTTAGATTTGGAAAATCCATGTCAGCCAGTGAATATGATACTGCACCAAGTGAATATGATTTGTTTTGTTGACTCCTGTCTGAACCAGTGAGATTGCAGCTATCTTTAGATAAAAAAAAACAACATTATTGTCTATACGCAGAATTATATAACTAGTTACAAATGTAGAAATTTTCTGTCAGGTTATAAAACCTTTTATAAACGGTTGTTTGCTTAAAATATTATCTGGCAAACAACCGTTTATACAAGGCCATATAGCCCGTCAAGTATCTTTATAACGAGTACAACAGAATCATTTTATTTGAGGAAAAATACATGCTCTCAATATTTAGCATCATCCCTGTATATAGATTATATAAACGTCACGATTATCCAATGAAAAGCGACGTTACAAACGTGCAGTATTTTAAAAAGTGATATACAATGTAAAACATGATGATTAACCCTCAAATCAACCATGAGACCATTCCAACGTTACTATGTTCTCATCACTTTTCTCTGACCTGATGATATCTTTATGTTATTAGCCACAATCAATCTATGCTAACAAAATAACATGCTCTCAATACAAATCTTAAGGTTTAAAGCTGCGTGTCTCCAGATGAGTCAAAATATTTCAATGAAATCAAACTTGGGAAATATGTACTCAGATTTTAGGAAAAGTAAAATGATTCAACATTCAAGAAATATTTTACATGTTATGTGCGGTTAATGACTTATTTTTCAGTATTTACAACTAAATTTCTACTGCGTTACTAACGCAATAAGGGCTGTTTATGCATATTTTGACCACTTTTTGGTAATCTACGTGAGTTTTCAGTGTCATTGATAATGTGTAAATTGCTTCCTTTGGTTATTTCACAATATTATACATTTAAATCAATTTCAAAATTTTCATGAAAATTAGCGTGAATCTGGAGGCGTGCTGCTTTAAGTAAAACTTGTTAAATTACGTTTGTCTCAAAGCTATACGTACCTGAAAAATATAAACTTTGGGTTACGTTTGCTGGGATTTCGCGTAATAAGCAACATTGTTTGTACAAGTTGCTTTCAAATTGTTGTCAAATAAATGTTTCTAAAACAGAAAATCAATGAAATAGTAAATAGCATTTAATATATATAATATCATTAAAACCATTAAAACATATTATAATCATATATTTTATATAAACATTTAATGCAGATTTACAAAACAAGATTGAAAACAAAACAGAATCAACAACAAACAAAAACAAAAAAGAACAATTTGAAAGATAAATAAAAGACAATGAAAATTTAAATATACGATCATATAAAAAAACAACAACAACAACAAAACGACCTTATATCTCAGAAACGTAAACGGCCCCATATTTAAAGAAAGAATGACAGTATACTTCTTTTTATTTGTGTTATCAGTAGATGTACTCTGTCTTAGTAATTGTATTGAGCAAATAAATCTAAAATAAACCAACATGAAAAACAAAGTGAATCCTTATCAAATTGTCCTACTCAACTTGGGTCGATTTGTTTGACCTTATTTTCGATTATATATACATACCCAACCAATGTTATCATAAAAGGGGCATTAGTTAGGACACTTTTCTCAACCAAAAACAAATGTGTTTCTTGTTTGTTTGATTAAAACTTCGGGAAGGTATATAGAAAACATTGGAAGGGTATACGGGAAACCAAATTATCACGTAATTTGAACATTATTCAGAATATATATCTCAATGGATGTATAATTGATACAAGCTGTGTGCATGGGTTTCCTAATAAGTCGTATTTAATATTGACTTTTAAAGTTTTCAACTATAAAATAAATCCATTTCTCTTGCATCTCCTATTTTAAATCAAAGCACTGAAATGCTGTTAGCGGTAAGCCCCCCCCCCCCCCCAAAAAAAAAAAACAAAAAAAACCCCAAAAAAACAACAACAAATGAATAATCATATAAATAAGAAGACGCTTCTCTTACAGCTTGTTTGGTGTAAATACGGTTATAAATATAATTAAAAACATCTTAGGGTCCTTATTTTCAGTACATCGGGACATGATATGGTGACTGATATGCGCCATGTTGTATTTTCGCGAAAACACCAAAATAGAAAGATGTGTCGACTTTGGCGAAGTTCGCTCTGAGGGTCGACAGACGAAGACACGAGAAAGTTGTGACAGCATTATCGTATTATCGCCTTGCACCTTGCTTTCGCAAGGTGCAAGGCGATAATTGTACTTTTTATTTACATTATTCTGAATAATGTTCAAATTACGTGATAATCGGCTTTTGTTTCCAAAAGTACGAATAAATTGTTGTCTGTCATATTATCGTGTTTTCTTCTGGCGCTTTGCTGAGTGAAAATACAACATTTTCAAATACAAAAAAAAAAAAAAAAAAAAAAAAAGAAAAGAAAAAAAAATCAAAAAAAAAAAAAAAAAAAAAATCGGCTTATTCGTATGATTAATTTCATGACAATGCCAACCAGCACTACTGTCATAAAAACAGCCAAAATAGCTTTGGGCTTTTAAATTTTTAAGGGAAATCAAGGGAATAAGGTAACTGAAAAAAAAATTTTCACTACCAAAAAAACTCGAAAATTTTCCATAATTTAATACAAAGGTTTTTATGTACAAAAAGGGGCAGGGAATTTTTGAAAAACATTTCCTGAAAAGTTTTATGGCTTTTGCATTCGATGCGTTTTATTTAAAATTTTGGGGAAAAATAATTAAAAATATAAAAAGATATAAATTTTTAATTTTTCCCAAAAATGTCGGCTGACTCGTTTAAAATAATTTTGAGTGAAAAAAAATTTAGGGGAAATAAAAAAAACTTTATTGGGGGCCAAAAAAGTGATGGGTTTTTAAATAATAAAACGGTTAAAATTTTTATTATATAAAAGTTTTTTTGGGTACATTTTCATTTAGTAAGGGAAATAAAACCCGATACGTTTTATGGTGACAGTTTTATTTAAAAAGGGTTTTTATGTTTAGAAACCATATAGAAGATTTTGAACAGAAAACGCACATGTTAAGTTGACAAGCAATTGATTCTTTGAACTTCTAGTTTTAGAAAGAAGGAATATAGTGATTTGTAAATTCATTTTCACCTGGGATGTATATGGTGTGTTGACAATAGGTTTTCTTTTTATAAACTGACGGTAAAATTTCTCGCGGCTTTAAAATGGACGCTAACGGCCACCATAACAGACCGTTCAAAGATATTTCCAGTAACTGGTTGGACATTTTAATGTCTTGTTTGGTGTGAAGACAGACACTTCAATCCACAGGCACTTCACATCCAAGACATCAGAAACAAATCACACTAAGCATTTCATAGAAATGTTTACGCTGGAGTATTATACATTTTGTGGGGTTAAATGTCTTGGGGATGAAATATTCACAAGATTATCAATCAAAGCTAAGCACTAAATAAAGCTTATACTGTTATTTAAATCAATATCAATACAATATCTCATAGCTACACAGGTATATTGTGAAATTAATTTTACTTATTGTATCGGCAACAAACATTGTTTTTTGTGTTGGAGGCTTTCGTTTCGCTTAGTATTTTTTTTCTTTATTATTTACTTTTCTATACATAAAACGGGTCATATTTGCATTAACATGCTAAAACGTTACAGACTTTTTAAAACAATCTTGACGAAAATTATTCTCTAACTTATTTAACATTGACATCAATAATATCATATCTATGTCAGTCATGAGATAATCTAGACTGGTACTGTTATGATATATTTTTATTTTCAAAATTTATAATACGAAGGTCATGCATGCTGGACTAAACAAACCGTCCAACACATAATCAAACAGTGTCAATTCAACTAAAAATACCTATGACGGTAGGTAGATAAACGCTTTTATATCATCGTACCCTACGTGTGGTTAATATCTTCGTAAAGATAATAAGTTTTACGATAGCAAAGGTGAGAAAATAGGGTGAATGTGTCAAGCCTAAATTCAAGCCACTATTTACTAATGAAAACATACAACAAAACAAACAAACAAACAAACAAACCAAAAATAAAGCAACAACACAAAGTAACAAAAAAAAATAAATAAAAGAAAAATGATAAAAATAAATAAATAAACAAACAAGAGGGCCATGATGACTCTGAAATCGCTCACCTGTATATAGGCCCCTGGGCCAATGCCAATTTTAAACCAGGGACCGTTATTTGAACAAATTTGGTCCACAGCCATTATAAATTTTTTCATGATAAATGTCTAAGCTCTAACTCTTTTAAAAAATTTACTATATACATATAGGAAAAAACAATGAATCCCCCCGGGAGGGGCCAATTTTGACCACAGGGCATTTATTTAAACAAACTTGGTAGACACTAACTAGAAAATATTTCATGCTTAGTATCTA